TATATGTTTTTTTTGGGGGGGGGTTACTGGGAATCAAACTCAGGACCCTGTGTTTACCAGGCGGCACTTGTGCCTCTGACCTATGTCCCCAGCTCCAAATTTACTATTTTAATCATTCTTAAGTGTATAGTTCTGTGGTATCAAGTACATTTATGTTGGGCAATCCGCATCACCATCCATCCTGAACTTTTCCGCTTCCTGGACTAGTGCTCTGTACCTGTTAAAATTATTTCCCAACCTGCCCCCTCCCCCACCACCATTTTACTTTTTGGCTGTATAAATTTAGCTACTTAAGTACATTTTAAGTGGAAACATATGGTGTTAGTTCTCCTGTGAGTGGATCATTTTATTTAGCATACTGTTTTCAGGGTGCATCCATGCTGTAGCATGTGTTAGAATTACATTAATTTTTAAGGCGGAATAATGATTCCATTGTGTATATATACCACATTTTGTTTATCTGTCCGTCAGTGGATGTTTAGGTTGTTTGTACCTTTTGTCTATTGTCAACAGTACTGATGTGAGCAAGTGTTTACATCTGCTGGAGTCCATGTTTCCATTTCTTCCTGGATATGTATAAGTGGAATTGCTGGATCATATGATGATGCTGTGTTTGAGTTTTTGAGGATCTGCCATGTTATTTTACACATAGCTGGACCATTTTATATACTTACCAGTGTGCAGGGGTTTTAGTTTCTCCACACCCTAGTCACACTAATTGTATTTTTAAATTCATAACCATTGTAATGAGTATGCGGTAGTACCTATCTGACCATGGTTTGATTTGTAATTGCCTAATGGTGGGTGATGTTGAGTGTCTTTTCATGTATCTATTTATTAACCATTTATTTTCTTTGGTGAAAAGTCCTTTTACCATTTTTTTTTTTTTTTTTTTCCGGCACTGGGAATCGAACTCACGACCTTGCGCTTGCCAGGCAGGGGCTGTGCCACTGAGCTAAATCCCCAGCCCCCTTTTACCATTCTTAATTGGATTTTGTTTTTGTTCCTGTTGAATTGTAGGAATTCTTTAATATATTGTATTGATCCCTATCAGACATATAGTTTATATAGATTTTCTTCCAAACTGTGGGTTGTTTTTCACTCTGTTAATAGTGACATTTTAGAGCCAGGGATGTAGCTCAGTGGCATAGCACCTGCCTGGCAGGCTTGAGGTTGAGAATTTGATTCTTGAGACTAGAAGCAAAAAATAGTGACATTTAAAAAATTTTTGATGAAGTGGGATTTATTGACTTTTTCTTCTGTTGCCTGGGATTTGGTGTCATGTCTAAGAAATCATTACTAAAACCCGTGTTGTGAAGCTCTTCCTGTGTTGTTTTTTTTTTTTTTTGGAAAATTAAGACATTTTTATTAGTACATGTTTGCAGTAAGTAACGATTACATTAATTGTGAGGATTTGGTACAGGTACAGAACCCCTGTGTTTTATTATAAGGGCATATGTAGTTTTAGGGGTTATAATATTTTTATACCTTTTTGTAGCATTTATTATAGTACATTGTAAATACCAGATTCTCCCCTTTGTATAATTCAGGGACTGTATCTCTTTTTTTTTTGGAACCAGGAATTGAACTCAGGACCTCACACTTGCCAAGCAGGCATCTTGCTGCTGAGCTATATTCCCAGCCCCTGACCATATCTCTTCTGATCATCATGTTTGATCATGTCATCTTGTAGGCACCAAAGTCACATTTTGTACTTTATTGAAATTGTATTTTATGGTGTAGGTTTGTTCCATTAGTTAGTAGTAAAAGTACCTAGTAGTTACCGAGTGCTTAGTATATTATAGGGCATATTCTACAAATAATTCATTTAATCCTTAAAAATGGCATTACTTGGATAGGTGTCATTATTAGCCACTTTTTACAGATGAAAAAATTGTAGAGCAAGGATAGAAAAGAACCGCTCAAGTTCAGTTAGCAAGTGGTAGAGCTGAATGAACTGAATGTAGTTATTTTCCTTGAATGTACTTTTAAATGTTTATTTTTTTATGGTTTTTACCAATGGAACATCTTAAAGTTCTAGTAAGATTATTTTTAAAAACACCTGTTTTGTATAGACTTGTTGTTTTACATAGTAACAAGCAAATGATTGCTGTAAGATGTGTGAATTCATAGACTTTTGAATCAAGAAGTTTAAAGTAGTAGTAAAATTATCTTTCACACTGAGTTTGTATATAATTCATTCTCTTTTCAAATATAGGCCCATTTTTCATACTGCAGAATGTTCCAAACTGGACATAAAACAAGATAAGGTGTATTAAAATTGTTGGTTAAAGTATATAGAAGTCTCTCTATATTGTTGAGGTTGTTTGGTTGATCAGAAACTATCACCTAACAAAGCAGGAAATTTTGAAATACACTGGCAATACACAGAATCAAAGAAGTGACTAACAGTAAGCCTTAGGGTGAGCAAGAACCTAATTGTGGTGACTGATGACCTTCAAGATGCTCCTGTTAGGATGACTCAGGGCTAGTGATCCTCAGTTTTCTTATTTTCCCATTTAAGCTTTAGATTTGCAGGAGACTATGGTTGGTCTAGCTTGAATTAAGGTGTCTAAACCTGGCTCAAATCAGCTATATCCTGGGGTCAAGATCACAGAACACAGGTATATAAGCGGAGCTGTTCTTAGGGGAGGAATCCCAGTGAGATAAGCAGTCCTCCTGAGCCACTTGGCTTCAGTAATTTGAGATAAAATTTGTGTAGAGAAATCCTGAGGCTTAAAAGAGGTAAACTGAGTTCACCAATGCCACATATCTGTAAAGAGGCTCAGTTAGAATATGATTAGGGTTAGTAATTCTAATTGATTTGGTGACAGCTTCTTGAGGACTTTTTGAATGACAAGCTAAAACGATGGATTTTGTTTTGTAGGATTGTTTAAGCTGAGAGTGTCAGGTCAGTGATAATTGAAAGAAAATGAAAGAAGAAAGGGAGGATGAACATGAGAGTGGTACAGAGAATGGATGAGCAAGGAACAGAATGTGAGATGATGATGCACGGGTGTGGAAGAGAGTGGAGTGAGGGAGCTCTTAAGCTATGCCTTAATTTAGTCACAATTATACCAAAATGAAGAGGAAATGTGCTGTGTTCTTATTTATGTGTAGGATGGCGGCTCCCTTCCTATTCTTTGAGGTAGTTACTGTCTTTGTAATACCATGTTCTTGTATTATATTTCAGACTTTGGGGTTAGTGCTTTTTTAGCAACTGGTGGTGATATTACCCGAAATAAAGTGAGAAAGACCTTTGTTGGCACACCTTGCTGGATGGCACCTGAGGTTATGGAACAGGTACTGTGATTTTTGTCTTTTTAAAGTGGTTCAGGGTTTTGTTACAAAAGTGAAAACACTTAGTAGTCTTTGTTGTTGTTTGGTATACTGGTTTGTGTTTGGGAAATTCATGTCTCTGTTTCTTGTTTAATACTTTTAAAAATACCCACCTCCCCCCCTAAAAAAAAACAAAACCCAGAACTTCACAGACAAGGTCTCTCTGTGTAGCCCAGACTGGCCTCAAACTCTCTGCGATCCTCCTGCCTCAGCCTCCCAAGTGCTGGGATTACAGGTGTGTGCTACCAGGCTCAGCCTTAAAAAAAGTTCTTTGTATGAATTAAATGACCTATCCATTTTACATGTAGTTTTCACCACTATATTTCTTGAAGGACTAGTTATCTGTACCTGCCCTTTTCCCATTTGCACATAACTGCAGCCTGTTGTCACTCTTGCTGTCACTTTGAGGAAACTGTTAATTCTCAGGTCCAGTGCTCACTAATTACATAGCTTATTTGTCTAGTTGGTGGCATTTGAAGCTATTTGTTTCAAACAGAAATAGCTTATTTGTCTAGTTGGTGGCATTTGAAACTTGGGAGTATTTCAACATTATTCACTTCTTTAGCTTTCTTACTGTAATGCCCTCATTCTTCTTGAGTATTAGGCCATTTTCCTGACTTCTTTTTCTGACTATCCATCTACTCCTAAATGGCGTTCTCTCCCAGAATCATATTCTAGGGCTCTTCTGTTCTGTGACTGCATGTATTCCATGGATACTCTCATCTCTGCTTCTGCTTATTAATGATCCCTAAATTACATCTAATCCAGTCTTGCCTTCTATTTCCAGGTAGTTGTTTCCAGTTCTATATGGATGCTTTATGTAAATGTCTTGTATCAAACCCGATATGTTTAGAACTAAATTCATGTTTTACTCTGCTTTAATCATCTGTATTTACCCTATTGTTAAGGGAAGTTTTCCTACTCAAGGTAATAGGGTGGCTGAGTACACAGCATCTGACACTGTACAAATGAGACTGACAGCAGTTTGTTAGTCACAACCTGGGAGAAGACTCTGTATGCTACACAGGGATGTGAGGTTACACTCAAGAACAGAGTAAACAGACATGGGCTAAGGGAGAAACACTTCCCTTAGAGAAAGAGAAATGCCCCCTGGGTATCTTTCGGAGGATGTGATTAGCTGTAAGGGAGTAGAAACCACCTACTCAGGGATAAACAAGAAGTGTACCTGGTGTGTTTGATAAAGAGGGTTCCTGAGCTAGGGAACATTATCTGCTGCAGCAGATGGGGGAGGTGTATTGGTCAGCTTTTAGTTGCTATGACTAAAGTACCTGGTAAAAGCAATTTAAAGGTGCAAGGGTTTGTGTATGTTTTTGTTGTGTGTGTGTGTGTGTGTGTGTGTGTGTGTGTGTGTGTTTTTGAGACAGGGTCTCGCTATGCAGTTCAGGCTGATCGTGAGCTCACTTTGTAGCTGAGGCTGGCCTCGAACTCTCAGTGATCCTCCTGCCTCAGCCTTCTGAGTGCTGGGATTACAGGCATGCGCCACCACGCCCTGCCTGGTGCAAGGGTTTATTTTTGTTCATGGTTTCAGAAGTTTTAGTCTATGGTCAGCTGGCCTCAAGATAAGAACATCATGGCAGAAGGACATGGTCCTGAAAAGCTCCCCTTCATGCCTCTGGGAAGTACTACAGTAGGAAAAGAGCCAGAGAGGAAAGAACTAGGGTTCAGGTTCTGGTATGTATCTATAATCCCAGGACTTGGAAGGCTGAGGCAGAAGGATTGCTATGAGTTTGAGGTCAGCCTGGACTACATAGTGAGTTCAAGGCCAACCTGAACCCTGAATTATGTAGAGAGACTTTGTCTAAAAACAAAACAAAACAAACAAAAGACTTAGGATCACTGTAAAAGGTTTTTGTTTTAGTTCTTGTATGTTTATTAAAATAGATTATGTATCTGTTATAATTATGTCAGATTATATTTTTTTCTTAAGGATTTTATTATAAATTGTTTTCCACATTTTCTTCTTTTTTTTTTTGGTCTTTTTTAGACACTCTCACTATACAGTTCAGGCTGGCCTTGAGCTCACTTTGTAGCCCAGGCTGATCTCAAACTTGCAATGATCCTCCTGCCTCAGCCTTCTGAGTGCTGGGGTTGCAGGCGTGTGCCACCACAGCTGGCCTGTTTTTCATATTTTCATGTAGAATTAGTAAGCATTGCTTTTAATTGACCATAAGTATACCAAGGTTAATAATTTCTTATTTCTTTGTTTTTGGTGAACATTAGAACTGCTTTTTCTTGCTTCTGTTACCAACTGTATTTAGCTTTTGCCTACTCTACTTTTTTTATTTAAAGCTTATGTACATTATTTATTTATTTTTTAAAATCTTCCCTTTTTTGACAGGGTCTTGCCATGTAACTCAGGCAAACCTTAAACTCGTAATCATTCTGCATGGATTACAGCATGCATCATCACAATTGGGGTTGATTGTTCTTGACCACTAGTGGAAGCTATTTTTTTAAAGTGCTCATAGACTAGCAACCATCATAACGTACTTTTTGTTGTTTGCAGGTCCGAGGTTATGATTTTAAAGCTGATATTTGGAGTTTTGGAATTACAGCAATTGAACTGGCCACAGGGGCAGCTCCTTATCATAAGTATCCACCAATGAAGGTGAGACTCACATTCAGAGTAGTGTCACTGCAGAAGTCCTAGTTCCCTGATTTTTGACTACTCTTACTACCTCATAAATGAAATTGTACAGTGTTTATCTTCATGAGACTGTCTTATTTAACATAATGTCCTCAGGGTGCAGCTATATTGTAGAGTGATGCAGATTTTCCACCATTCCTCTTTTTATATTACAAAGGAAAGAGGGACTGAAGGAAAAACTGTTATAGGACACTTGCCTTATATGCCTAAGGTCCTTGGTTTGATCCAGAAATACTATTTTTATGGTGTCAGCTAAAAAAATTTGTTGCAAACCAGTCACCTCACTATCCTATAGAACACTAAAATTGTTTCCTATCTAACTGTATTTTGGTATGTGTTAGCCACCTTTGATTCCCATTCTCAGCCTCTGGTGACCACTAGTCGACTCTCTTCTTCTTTGAGATCGGCATTTTCAGCTTCTGTATATGAGTAAAAACGTGTGATATTTGTCTTTCTGTTCTGGCTCATTTCACTTAGCATTGCGTTCCAGTTCTGTGCACATTACTGCAGATGACAGGATTTTGTTCTTTTTTTAAGGCTGAATAATTTTCCATTGTGTATATAAACACATTTTTAAAAATCCATTTATCCATTGATGGACACTTAGGTTGATTATGTATCTTGGTTATTGTGGATAGTGGGGAAATAAACATGGGAGTGCAAATAACTTTCATTTTAAAAATTTTTTTGCAAGTACCTTTTATATATAGGTTTCGTTTTCTTTGGATATGCACCTAGTAGTGGGATAGCTAGATCACTTGGTGGTTCTTTTGCCCCAGAATGGCTGTACTAGTGGCATTCCTGCAATATGATAAGACTTTCCCTTTCCTGTGTCTTAATAGCATTTTTTATCCTTATCATCTTGTTTGTAGCCATTTAAATTAGGATGAGATGGTGCTTTATTGTGGGTTTGATTTTTCCTCTGTAAAGTGTGATGTAGGTCAGTGTGAAGGCCCTGTGGGATCAGCCCTATTTATTTATTTATTTATTTAATCTTGATACAGAGTCTCACTAAGCCACTGAGTTGCCCAGGCTGAGCTTAAACTTTCTGATCCTTCCTCAGCCCTCTAGAGTGCTGGATTACCGATCTGTACTACCATACCTGGCTTGCGTTAATAGTCTCATATTTATTTCTGCTGTGGTCTTTATTATTTTTCCTTGTATTCATTTTGGGTTATTCTTTTGTTTCCTTGAGTTATAGCATAGGATTATTTATTGGAGTATTTCTATTTTTTGATACAGGCACTTATTGGTGTAAACTTTTTCCTTAATAGTGGACCCTTGAGTTATGATCAACCTGACATATGAACAGCTTGTGTCTGGAATTTTAGTTTTAACTTACAACCACAAAGCCTTAAGTTATGACCCGAATGCCAACCGCTTGTACTTCCAGATGGTCTCAGATAGAGATTTAACCCTTAAAGAATTCTGGAAGGAACATTGCAACATCCTTTCTTGAATGGGGTTAATTGAGAAATCCTGGGCCAGTGTCCCTCTAAGGACACTGAGATCAGCATGTATACAGGAGAGAGGCTTTGAAGGCTGTGTAGAGGAGCCTGAGCCTTCGGTTGACATCTTGAGTTACAGCCAGCCCTTGGAATGAATTAGGTTCTTAATTCAAGGGTCCACTATACTGCTCTTGCTGTTATTTCATGGGTCTTGGTATATTGTGATTCCAAGGAAATTTTGTAATTTGCTATTGATTTTTTTAAGAATTTGTTTAATTTCCCTGTATCTGTAAACTTTCTAAGGTTTTTCTCGTTGGTTTTTGTTTTTATTCCATTTTTGGAATAAACTGATACGGTTTTAGTTACAAATTTCCTGAGACTTGTTTTGTGTCCTCATGTGTGGTCCATCCTGGAGAGTCCTCAGTGCAAGTGAGGACTGAGATCTTCAGCTTGTGGGTGATGCTGTCCATGATGCTGGAGGTCTGCAGCATTCCCATGTCAATTACACTGTGTTGATGATTTTATTGGAATGGTTCCTTGCTGTACCTGTGGAAGTGGGGGGGCAGTTTGGAAGCTTCCAATGTTTTTTGTATTGGAACCTTTTATATCTAATACCAGTTTCATTATATCATAGGGTGCTTTGGCTTTGAGTATGTGTTTACAATTGTTATATCTTTTTGTTGAAATGGTTTGTCAGTATATAGTAATCTTCTTTGTCTTTTTTTACAGTTTTGACTCTAAGACTGTTTTATCTAAGTGTAGCTACCCCTGTTTAACTTTTGGCTTCCATTTTTGTAGAATATCTTTGTCCATCTCTTTACTTTCAGTGTGTGTCTTTGCTGTCTTTGCTGGTGTATCAGTCACTATTTTACTAGGCAAACAGATATAACACATGATATACAAATATATAAGAATTTACAAGATTGGCTTACAGTGGCCATTCACAGAGTTGGATGAGGGACAGTGCAGAGTCTCTGTCTGCATATTAGAGACTGAAGGATTCAGACCAAGGTCTGGAGCTCACTGCAGCGTTTTGTGCAAGTCCGTATCAGGAAGCTGATGGGTCTGTGCAGGAAGCCAGGAGATGATGTCCAAGGTGAAGGTGAAGACTGGAGCTCTGCTGAAGAAACAGAAACAGATCCATCTTTTCCCCTTTATAGTATCCAGGTGATGAGCCACCCTAGGGTGTGGAATTGCTGAGCTGATACAGTTAAGCTTCTCTTAGTTAAACTTTTTTGACACAGTAAACCAGCCATCACAGTCCCCCCCTTGTCAGCTTGGCAACCAGATGCATTTCTTTAAATCAGTCACTATGTAAAAAGACAAGCTCGTAATTACATCTAACATGTTATAACTACCCCATGTACAAACAGAAATGCACTAATCCCCTCCCCAGAATAGAAGGCAAGTTTTCTTTGGGTGACACTTACTCTTAACTTTCCACAACTTGAACATTATAACATAGGTTTAACAATCCTTATTAGATCTGTCAACATTGTATTACATTAGAAACATATTAAGAGAGAAATAGTGCAATCCTTGTTTCTATAGCTGATCATGGGGTCATAGCTGGTATTTAGAACTACCCGCTTCTGCTACCCATTCTGTATTCCATTGGCCTTCGGCAAGCACATCAGCAGCAATTGGTTGTTTCCCTGGTAGAGTGACCCATACCTTCATTCCTGAAGGCTCTGGACCATTTTCTGTTCTGTGTAGATTAGGTTGTAGTTTTCCACTGTCTATTTTTTTTTTTTTGTAGAAAGGGTCTCACTATGTAGTTCAGGCTAGGCTCGAACTCTGTGTAGCCTGGGCTGGCCTTGAACTGGTGGCAGTCCTCCTGCCTTAGCCTCCCAAGTACTGGGCTTACAGGTATGTGCCACCATTCCCAGCTCCCATTGACTTTAATAACAGCGCATGATAATAACTAGGAGGTGCCCTAAAGGATCTCCTGCACTCCAAGTATATTCTTCCTTTCATCCATTGTGGAGTAGTAGTGCAATTTCCCCCTTGTTAGCCTGGGTCAGTCACCCCTGACAACACTGCGACTCCATTTTTAGCTTGTTTCCTCAGAGACATGAGGAGACCAAAATGACCAGGTGGAAGTCTTAGCTTCCAGTTCAATGGTATCATTGTTGTGCTTCCTGGTACAAGACTTACCCCCTCTAGAACTAAGACTTTTAAGCCAACAGAACATAAGGTCATGGGAACAGGAAGTAAAAATTTTCCTAGTGTATCACTGGGGGTAGTGGTGAGTAGTACCATTCCTATTTCCTGGTAATGATTCCTGGATCTTTGTGTTATGGCTGTGGGAGGAGACACAATATCATATAGTAGATGCTTATTCAAAACATATACAGCCTTTTGAAGAATCTTGCCCCAGCCCTGCAAGCTATTGCCACCTAGCTGGCATTGTAACTGTGTCTTCAAAAGACCATTTTACTTTTCTGTCAATCTAGCCACTTCTGGATGATGAGGAACATGGTGAGACCAGTGAATTCCATAAGCATGAGCCTATTCCCTCACTTCTTTGGCTGTAAAATGTGTTCCTTGGTCAGAGGCAATGACACGTGGAATTCCTTGACAGTGGATAAGGCATTCTGTGAGTCCATGGATAGTAGTTTTGGCAGAAGCATTACATATATGAAGGCAAATCCATATTCAGAATACATGTCGGTATCAGTGAGGACAAAGTGCAGTCGCTTTCATGATGAAAGTGGTTCAATATGATTAACTTGCCATAATTCCCAGGTTGATCACCCCAGGGAGTGGCGCCATATCAGATATTCTGTATTGGTCTCTACTTCTGGCATATTGGGCATTCATCTGGCTGATAGCCAGATCACCTTTGGTGAGTGCGAGTCTGTGTTACTGAGCCTATGTGTAACCTTTATCCCTGCCACCATGGCCACTCTGTTCATGGGCCCATTGGGCAATGACAGGGGTGGCTGAAGGAGGTTGGCCAGTATCCACGGAATAGGTCCTCTTATCCACTTGATTGTTAGTCTTCTGCTGAGGTCACCTTTTGGTGAGTGTTTATATGGGGAATAGATATTGTTACATCCTTTGTCCATATGGAGAGGTCTACCACATACCTTTTCCTCAAATACTTTGTCACCAGTTTTCTAGTTATGTTCCTTCCAGGTTCTTGACCATTTGGCCAAATCATTGGCTAGAGCCCATGAATCAATATACAGTCACATAACAGGCCATTTCTCCTTCCAGGCAAAATGTACTACCAGGTACACTAGCCACAACTCTGCCTACTGTGATGATTTCCCTTAAAAACTGTCCTTCAGGGATATCCTGGAAATAGGCTGCAATGCTACAGCTGTCCATTTATAGGTAGTGCCTGCATAACGTGCAGACCCGGTCCTAGCCTTCTCTTCCTCTGAGAGCTGATCATATGGTACATCCCACAAGGCCATACATGCATGCTGGGAAATGGAAGGTAGTGTAGTAGGCATAGGAGCTGTAGGCATCTGGGCAACTTCGTCATATAATTTACTTTTACTC